AATTTCATTTTTTTATACTTCAGATAATAAATGTTGACGTTTCTATATTGAAAAAAGTACAAGTATTTTGTGAATGCCTCTTATCAAGTAAATTAATAGGACTTAGATGAGAATATATCCAGATTGTCTTTGCAAACTGATCCCTTTCAGCCAGACAATAAATAATTACGATGAGAATTATGTCTTAAAATAGAAAATATTATCTATCGATGGATGCAATTAATTTACAATGTATTAGTAGATAAAAATAGAAATCTAATTTTCTTTATAAATATGAAATAGACTCTTTCAACGCATATTCACAAAGATCCAATCTTAGAAAAATATTTATTATTAAGTATTCATTAATTATTTCAATCCTTGAAGTTCTATAACTGAAGTATACAATATCTGCATTTAATATTTTTATCGAAAAATTTTAGAAATTTTCAAAACAGATTGGTTGAAACACATAATTAAAAGCGATGCATATTAACAAAAAAACTGATTCTATATTTATACTGAATTATATTCTTTAATACGTGAGTTACAATATCACTTGAATATTCTGGATGTTGATACAAGTATTACATTGTTCAAATTATACTTAAAAAGTTCATTAAAAGAGAGATTATTTTTCAATTTATAGAGTATGCTTTTTTATTGACATCATTAATAAAATATCAGATCCGATTTGAAATAATCCTGAACAAGTTATATATTCATAAAAAAAATGTTTTTCTATTTTTAATTTAATTTTTTAATAGAAAATGTAATGACGTTGTTGTTTTTTTTTATCTAGATGAATTTATGTTATATAAAAGGAGTGATTATTAGACACAATTTGTTCATTTTATGTTAAAATAACAATTATGAACTTGGCACAGATAATGCGAATTTTTTTTAGTATAATTACAACACAACTTGTATTATCACTTCTATGTTCAATTTTTTTATTTATTCAATTTGCAACAAATCGTGAATGGAGACATAGAAAAAACAATCATATATTGCTAGTTCTATTAATTTTGACATTCTTACAGGTAAAAATTACGACTCTCTTTATCTAAAAAAAAGAATAGCACTAAATTCGAAATAGAGAAAAATATGAGTATAAATCAATAACTATTTTTTTTATAATTATGAAAATAGAATACAATTGAAATACCAATGAATTTGATATTTCTTCGTACTGGTGTAGCAGCAAATACTTCATCTGGTTTTTGTCTATTTTGGATACTTTCTGTATGTACTTTTAATGTAATCGGGATCTTATTAATGACATTTGCTTCAATTGAACGTTATATGTTTATTTTTCATACTGCAATAATTAATCGTCATTCAATTCTATTGAGACATATACCTATTACTCTTTGTTTTATTTACCCTTTATTATATTTTATTGGAATTATTTTACTTTTGCCTTGTCATAATCAATTTATTTATTTCGCATATTTATGTTCGGGTGGCTGTTATCTTAATGATCCATTTTGGAATACAATGACATGGGTTGGTAATATTAGTTTACCGATATTTATCATATTATTTATTAATATTCTATTAATTACTCGTACAATTTATCAAAAAAATAAAATGAAACAAACACATGTGTGGCTTAAAAATCGAAAAATGGCTTTACAATTAGTATTTGTTGCTGCACTTTATTGTTTCACTTGGCTTCCTAGTGTTATTCTCATATTGATTGTTACATTTCCTCCTCCAAATGTTAATACATCACAAATATTTTTCATATTTCAATATGTTGTCTTTATGACTAATTTTACGCCTCTATTCTATCCTTTTGTTTGCCTTGCTGGACAACCATTTATATTAAACAAAATTAAACGTATTTATCAACGAGGACATCCAGTAGTTCCTATTCAATTAGCTAAAAAAATCCATCGGTTTTAAATGTTCGATGATTTATTTGAAATCACAAAAAAAAAATAAACAAAGCGTGTTTAATAACAAAAGCAAAATGCTGAAATATATATCTTAAAGAATGTTATATAGCATGTTCATGTTTCTGAATAACATAATGTAAAAGTAAAATAGAACTATCATGTACAGTTATTGTATCACCTGGTGAATATGTTGTTCCTTCGTCACCATCAGTAATAACTTCATCTTTACTTGTATCTAATATTAATGTCCAACTTTTTGCATATTCTTCGGATGGTAATTTATAATCAATAAATCCATGATATGCATTAAATATTATATAAAAACTATCATCTGTTACTCGTGCACCTAATTTTGTACGAGCACTCATTCCACGACCATTTATAAATACACCAAATGATTTAGCATGATCATGTTGCCAATCTTCTTCTTTCATATATTGACCATCGAATTTAAACCAGGCTATATCTTCAATTTCACTATGTTTTACGGGTTGACCACGAAACCATGTTCGACGGCGAAAGACAGGATGTCGACGACGTAAATCAATTAATTTCCGCGTAAATGCTAATAGAACTTTATCAGCATTTTGCCAATTTAACCAAGATAGTTCATTATCTTGGCAATAAGCATTATTATTACCTTGTTGAGTTCGACTTAGTTCATCACCTAAAATACAACATAAATAAATTCTAATAAATACCGTTAATATCTACTGATTAATAAATAGTCTCTTAAAAAACTAAATTACTAACCTGCAACTAACATTGGAATTCCTTGTGATAAAAATAAAGTTGTCAGAAAATTTCGTTTTTGACAATCTCGAAGTTTATTTATATGTTCATCATCTGTTGGACCTTCAAAACCACAATTCCATGAACGATTATAACCTTCACCATCCTCATTATTATCACCATTTAGATCATTATGTTTGTCATTATATGTTACTAAATCATTCAATGTAAAACCATCATGTGCTGTAAGAAAATTAATGGAAGCTGTTGGTCCTCGACGTTCTTCACGATATAAATCTGAACTTCCAGTAAAACGTTCAGCAAATTCTGAGAGCATACTTGGTTGACCACGCCAATAATCTCTTACACAATCACGATATTTTCCATTCCATTCAGCCCAACCTGGTGGAAATTTACCTACTTGATAACCACCTTCACCTAAATCCCAAGGTTCAGCAAGTAATTTAGCACGACCAATAACGGGATCTTGATGAATAATATCAAAAAATGCACTTAAACGATCAACTGCATGTAATTCACGAGCTAATGTTGCTGCTAAATCAAATCTAAACAACACAATTGTTTATAAGTTAAAAAGTAAAAATAAATAATTACCTGAAACCATCAACATGCATATCTAATATCCAATATCTAAGACTATCCATAATTAATCTTAATACATTTGGTAATCGACAATTAAGTGTATTTCCAGTACCAGTATAATCAAAATAAAATCGTTGATCATCTTCTGTAAGTCGGTAATAACTTCTATTATCAATTCCTTTAAATGCTAATGTTGGTCCAAACTGATTTCCTTCACCAGTATGATTATAGGCAACATCAAGAATAACTTCAATTCCAGCTTTATGTAACTTTTTAACCATTCGTTTAAATTCTAGAACTTGTTCTCCATGTGTTCCTGAAGATGAATAACGAATATCTGGAGCAAAAAATCCAATAGTATGATATCCCCAATAGTTTGTTAAGCCACGATCTTTCAAATGACGATCTGTTGTAAAATGTTGTATTGGCATTAATTCAATAGCGGTTATTCCAAGGTTTTTAAGATATTCAATTGTTGTTGGATGAGCTATGGCAGCATATGTTCCACGTATTTCTTCTGGAATATCTGGATGTAGTTTTGTAAAACCTTTTACATGTACCTCGTAGATAATTGTTTCATGAAAAGGTATATTTGGTGGAGCATCACCACCCCAATTGAAATTATTTGAATCAATAACAACACATTTTGGAATATATGGTGCACTATCTTCAGTATTAAATGTTAAGTCTTTATCAGGTGATGGATCATGTACATTATAACTAAATAATGAATCATGCCAATCTAATGTACCAGTAATAGCTCGTGCATATGGATCAATTAAAAGTTTATTCACATTAAAACGATGACCATTTTGTGGTTCAAATGGACCATCAACACGATAAGCATAGATTTGTCCTGGTTCAAAATCAGGTAAATAAATATGCCAAATCTGATGAGTTTGTTCTAAAAAAATATTTTAATATTTATGTAAAAGTTTGAAAAACTTTTTCAATAGAATCAAATGATTACCTTTCATTTTAATTCGAACATATTCAACTAATTCCTTATTTTCATGATGACTTGGTCGAAATAAACATAAATAAACTTTAGTTGCAAATTCAGAATATAATGCAAAATTAATACCATGACCATCATAATGTGCACCTAATGGATGTGGATTTCCTGGATAAGTTGTTATCTTTGGATCTTCCCAATTTAGATCACAAGATCCAGCCATTGCAGTTAGACAAAGGTTGTCCTAGAGAAAAAAAAAAGAAATGGTTTATAGAGAAAAATATAATATTCTTTTCACTTTATCGTTCGTAAAGGTCGAAAATGAGAGTGCATTGAATCGTTCTCTTTCTTTATATACTAATATAAACTATGCACTCGTTCGTAACAATGACCGATAGTTTTACTATTTTCATCGATCTTTGTCTTATTCTTATCAAATATCGAAACTATGTCATTTATGCATTCTAAATATAGCTAGTTTTTTACTGATTTATTTCTTAATTAACATAATTTTAAATACAAATTGTTTAAATTAGTACAATCTGTTCTAATAAGAAAATATTGCATTGAAAAGAAAACAATATTATATAAGAATATATGAAGACAAACGATGCTACTTGAAGCATCTGTTGGTGTTATAACGAATACTACTAATATAACTATGATGACGTTGCTTTTTTTTGTCCTAGTCAATAAAAAGTACTATTTATTTTCTTTCATCATCGAACGCAAAAGAAAAAATTAGTAGGCATGCATATGCACATGATATAGACGGTTTTTTTTTGCCAATTCTATAAGAGTTGTAAATACGACTGATCAGCTGGCTATATTGCCTTCATATTTTATTCTCTTCTATGTTATCTAACAGTATGCTGGTTCGCTATGCTCATGTCAAGATTTATATGTGTCTACGCCGAAAGAACGATCTATTTATAGCTGCGTTTCCATACGTATCATATTAGATAATATATACATAGTTATATTTTTCCAATTATTGAAATAATTTCTCATTCAATTTACTACGAGTATGAATTAAAATATTCATATTGATGTATATGTATAATTTTTTAAAATATTTGTGCAGCTGTACTTGTTCCATTTTTATCTACAAGGTCATATTCTGTTGTAATATATGAACCATTGCAACATTAGATTAGTAAAATCTCTCAACTGATTACAAGAACATTTTGATGATTGACTGATAGTTTCCAGATATATGATAGCGAACATGAATGAGAATTCTTTCAGTTCTCTAGATAAAGCTTATTATTTTGAGATTTTTCTATCTCATCATAATATTAAAACCAAAATAATTTATTGATATTTCTTCAATCTTTATAAAAATCTATTTAAAACATTTGTTCATGATTTGTCTACTATAGAGAATTATTATAAATAAATCAATTAGTCGTTCTACATTTGTTTCAACTAATTTATAGATAATAAGGTTATAAAATGTAAAACTAATCTCAACGAACAATGCCAAAAGAATACTAATAATTTTGTCAAAAAATACGCTCATAGTATTTACTTACAATTTGTTGACATGTCATTTGTACGAAATAGTAATTCACCTGGCAATTGCTTTTTTAGTATTGGATGAGAAAAAAAGAAATATCATATGACACTATATTTTATACGTAATGGAAAAGAACGCTAGTCTCCCATTGAGTTTCTTTCGTCGTTCTGTGATAAAAAGCAATCATAAATCATGTCAATTAGTTCCGTACTCTTTCATTTTTGTTTAAAATGTATAATATCTTTTTTGATGTCTTTAATAATTAGACCGACATTCATGTATTATTAACACATCAAACTTCTCCTTTTGTTTGTTGACAAAGAAAAAACAGGGGAAATGTTGATGACAATGTTTATAATTTAAACTAAAATCGATCATTTCTCTCTTTTGCTTTAAATAAAACATATTTTAGATATATATAAAAAAAAATAATCTTCGTTATTTATGTGAATTAATAATCTTCGGCGTTGTTTCAGATTTAATCATATCTTTTGATATTCGATGAACAGTATCAATAAAATGTTTAACATTATCAACATTAGCATCTGGATAAATTCCATGACCTAAATTTGCAATATAACTTTTTGTACCAAATATTTCAAGCATTTGTTTTATCATTTTTTCTAAATCATCTTGAGATGCATAAAGTGCACAAGGATCAAGATTGCCTTGTAATGTAACCGTTGGATATTTTTCTCTTAATGTTCGTATTTGTTTTCGTGTTACTGACCAATCAAGCCCAACAACATCAAATGATGATGAACATAATTCATCTAATGCATAATGAGCATCTTTAGCAAATATAATTATTGGAACATATGGAATTTGACGACGAGTTAATCCATCTCGTACACCTTTTGCAATCTGACGTAAATATGGAAGTGAAAAACGAACAAATAAATCATGATTTAAACAACCACAATGAGATTCAAATAATTGAAGAAGTTGAGCTCCAGCACAAACTTGTTCAATTAAATGATCAATTACAAAATGTGTTAAAAATTGAAGAAGATCATGAGATTCTTCTATATATGTATATAACCATTTTTTTGCTTTGGAATGTGTTTCACTACCTTTTCCTAAAATAAAAAAATATTTTTTTTTTTGAAAATAAACAATAAATAAATATTCTATTTTACCTTCAACCATATAAGACATTAACGTCCATGGTGCACCACTAAATCCAATTAATGGACATTGACCATTGAGTGCATGTCTTGTTAAAGTTATTGCATCATAAACATATTTTAATTCTACACTTGCTTGTTTCGTTCGATCAACTCTTATCTTTATATCAGCTGGTACATTAAGTGGATGTGCAAAACGTGGTCCTTCTTTAGCAATCATATCAACTTGCATACCAAGTGCTTGTGGTACAACAAGAATATCACTAAAAATAATTGCAGCATCAAGATCAAAACGTCGTAATGGTTGAAGTGTCACTTCACAAACTAATGCTGGTGTTCGACAAACATCAAAAAATGAATGTTGACTTCGAAGTGATAAATATTCAGGTAAATAACGACCTGCTTGTCGCATAATCCATATTGGAACATGTTCGACGGGTTCACCACGACATGCTCGTAATATTAAATTATTTTTTATAGGAGGAAATTCTTTTTGTAATTGTCGGATAGTTGAATTAGACATATCTATAATTTATTGATAGATTAAATACAAAAATAGATGTTGATCGGAATATTGGTTTATATGAAAATTTTAACTTCTCCAAGTAGAAAAAAAATATCTGGAATAATAAGAGAGAGAGAGAGAGAGAGAGAAATACTAATGATCAAAAGTTTTATCAAAAAAAAAAACGGTTATTCAGAAAAATTTGAAGTAAAAATAAAAAATTATATCTTTACATACTATTTATTGCAATAACTCATTTCTCCCATTATTTTGTCTTTCTTGTTGTATGATAATTATAAATAACATTCATATCTCGTGATTTTACATATATAATTAGACGTTTCTAATCCTTATTATTCCTTCATTTGAAAGTTTATCTAAATATTTACTATATGACAGAGTGTTGTCAACGGGCTTAATATAAAGATTCAATTGGAATCAAATTCAAAACTAATGAATAGAACTGTAAACAAAACTTATGCATACTAATTAATTAATGCAAAACTGGTTGTGAATAATAGGAAATAGTAAACAAAAAAAAATATCTGCATATTTCTATTTTTATAATCTGATAGTGGTGAATTGAAGCATTTCTGATTAGAATAAAACTAAAAAAAGTAATTAAATTTTATAGAATTAATTTACTTTATTGTAGATATCCCCAAAGACATTGTTTTTTCAGCAAAATAGCAGACAAACTATCAAATTCTCTTCTTTTATTCTTCTTTCCGGCAATCA